GCGTCCGCCTCCTCTGCTTCCTCATCATCCAACAGCGCCGCCAGGGCTGCCTCGCCCAGTGGGGCATTGTTCAACGCCCGTGCTAGTGAGCGACGAGCGTTCTCATCGGTGCAGCGCCATGTCAGTGTCTCTGTACCCACCTCTATACTTAGTGTACCATCCTGGAAATTAAGTATCAGATGTCCTTTGCAAGCGTCTTAATAATTATAAAAAGTTGATAAACTTTAAACTAATATAAATGATGTAACATTTTTAGTTTAGTGTGTAGACATGACTCACTGGCAAATCAGCTATCAAGCGAACAGAGTTCAGCGGCCAAGATTTTAATTGAGCGCCCCCCTCGCTGAGCTGCAGCGTGCCCTCGTCACCGCCCTTGCCAGTGACCACGCTCAGCCGCTGCCGCCGCTCCTCAGCGCCCACCACGTCCGCCCCGGACACCTCCCTACTCTCCCATTCACGAAACAAGCCCGGTTCTTCTAACTTCATTGTTTTTTAATATGACTTTTCACTACTACCGAAACCACTATACCTTCGGATATTTTAATCCTACGAGAATATCAGTTAAATATAAAAACACAAAAATTACATTAAAGTGTAAACAAATACAAATATTTGACACTGACTGTCAGTGTCAAATGTCAGTTTTGACAGTATAATAGATTACCTAAACAAAGAATGGTTTTGTCACTTGTCAACCAGACATTAACTTCTTGAATTTATAAAAGTGCCAGATTTAGAATTCTACGTATTTCAGATTTATAATCAGCTTCTTTAGTGCAAACAGCATTTTACTTTCTTTTAAAGCAGTAATTGTTATATTCGGCTGTACCAATTAACCGTCCATTTCCATCGGTCTTCTAATCTTTGGTTCTTTGACTGGTTCCTAGATTTTCACCTGTGGAGTTTTTGTTTTATAATTTTATTAATTTCGCTGTAACTGTGTTTTAAATTCACTAATTGATACATAAAACAGTTAAAATTTCTCGTTCTGGTTTATCCTGCGACTGAAGTTGTTGACTTATCTATACAATACATTTTAACCTATAAATCTCTTAGAATATAAATAAAACAAAAATGGCAAAAAGTAATATAAATAAAGGCAAAGGACAAAACGCTGATGAAATTTTCAATGCGTTCCAAACGTTGCGCAACGAACAAAGGCAATTAGCAAATAAAATTACTGAATTAGAGATGGATCTGAACGAGCACAAGTAAGTGATTTTTATCGATATATTTACTAAAAGACTTCGTAATTTGTAAAATTAATTCGATGTGCTTTTAACAGGATTGTAATAGAGACTTTACAAGGTGTCGATAAGTCGCGGAAATGCTTCCGTATGGCTGGCGGAGTTCTGATCGAGAAAACCGTGGGCGATGTACTACCAATACTCGAATACAATAGAGAGCGTCTGCCGCAAGCGATAGAGGCTTTGAACGATCAGTTAGCGCGTAAAGGGAAGGAAATCAACGAATATATTGAGACACATGACATCCGAGTGCACCGAGGTCATCGGGCGCCAGAGAGCACGCCAGAACAGGCCACCAAATCCAATGTTCTTGTGGCTAGTGAATAATAACCTTACCTTATAGCCTATTCTGTTTATTATAGCTTTTATATAGTTGTGAATCAACTGTCTCTAAATAATACCTTTATTGCAATAAGGCATACAAATGTGTAAAGATTTATTTAATTTCATAAAAGGTATTGTTTGCATCACACATGTTATAATGTAAATATTATTTTGAGGGCATATTTCTTAGTAACAGTTAACTAACCATTGCAACTTAGAATTTTGTAGCTCATGAAAGCTTAGAAATGACAAATTAATAAAAATACTCTGCCCTCACTATAGTTTAATTTTATGCTTATCTAAATGAAATGTTTTTATAGTCCTCTGTTCTTTATACATGTTTTTTTCCATTGTGTCTAGTCCCAGTTTCTATTAATTTTATTGTCCCACTAGTTGATGGCATGAGCAAATTAAAAAAAAAATGTTAAACATCTAAAAATAGTCAAATGCTTAGTTTTTACTGTTTAGGTGATTTAATATTGAATATAAAAATTAAAAGCAGAGTTTATGTGATTATGTTTCAAATTCTTTTATGTATAATACTGAACAAAATTAATCTCTTAAATTATTTCTTACAATAAAAAATCACTAATTCTCTTTTGTTGCTTTCTTCCTTTAGCAAGTATTATTCTACCCAAAAACACTGCTTAAAAAATGTGAGAAATTAAAAATTAACATTATGATTACTCTTTTATTATTAGCAAAATACAAAATTAATGTTCCCTTTATAAATTACATAAAACATATAATTAATTTGAAGCATATAGAACCACATGGAACTTCCCAAATACAAACATTCCGTTATGGTGCAAAGCAACTGCACAAAAAACATCTTTTTTTATAATATAAGGGGGCAAATGAGCAAGCGCCACCTGAAACCAATGAAATGGAAAGTGAACGCTGCCCATATACATCTACAGTTGCAGATGCATTGCCTACCCTTAATTGATGGAGGAAGAGACGCACATAAAGAAGACATTTTCCCTTCCTATGCATCTCCATTGTCAAATCCACTTTTCCTTCCCGTCCTTTCCTCTTAAGAAAAGGGTGGAAAATTAGGCTTTCGGCACCACACTCATCAGACGAAAAAATTGCTTCCGCTTCACGCCTGTTTTCTATGTGGTCGTGGTATAAGACAAGCCAGCCCATTCCTGCGAAGATGTTAAAGCGGGCTCTACCACTGTTAATATTGTATATCTAGGGGAAACAAAACATACAGTCTGATGAGTGGGAATGCCGAAGTCCTAATTTACCTTTCTCTCCACCCCCTGGTTTTATTACAAAAATATATGTTTAAAAATATATTAGTACCATAACCAGGCTTATACATTTTAACTCATTACAACAAAAATGTTAATAAAACCATATAAAAATCATCAACAAAAGGTTACAAATGAATTTGTAAAAATAATTTATCAAAAAAAATATATGCTTAACATTAAGACTAAATTTAAATAACAATTGGTCCATAAAAATTATGTAAATGAAATTCGAGATAATTTTTGAATAAGTATAAGCCAGTATTAAAAAACAATAACTACGTGGTAGTCTTTGACTCCAAAAATCAAACAAAAAAAAGGGACCCATCTGCAGGCACTACCTTTCGGATAAAAAAATAATTATCAAAATCGGTCCACTAGCGGCGGAGTTATGCCGTAACACACATAAAAAATAATAATAAAAAACAGACAAATTGAGTACCTCCTTCTTTTGGGAAGCCGGTCAAAAAAAATCTAAATAATATCAAAGCTTAGAGCAAAAGTTATTTTTAATAAGAATAATATTTATATGCAATTTTTATATACATTACTTTTTATCAAATAAGATTCTTATTTCCAGTCTTTCATATGTTCTGGGAATTTCCATTTTTATTTACCACAGACTAGATTCAGTTGATCATACAACCCAAAAATAGATTAAAAAAGTTGTATGCAAAAGTAGAAAGTTTTTCTGTATTTATGAATCATTTTAACAAAAAAACTTTGTGGTAGTAGGCCAATTTAATACTAAGATTGTTTTAAAAATTCCGACCACACGAAGCCACAATCAAAAACTACTTAGTTATATGAAATGTACTGTTATACCACAACCTAAAATAATGAAAATTACAACAACCAAAGATAGACGGAATATGTAGAGCTTTGCTATGCTATTGCAATAAATGGTAATTCCTGTCTAGTAGCGCCAGGACGGAGGATGTTTAAACAAAGCACAAATATGAAGCTCGCTCCATGTTATACCTAATTATTTAGTAAGTAGCTAGTACTGAATATGTAACTATGAGCACCAAGAGCTGCCAAAACTGGCAAATTACAGACATCACAACTTAATAGATTCTACACTTAACAAAAGTATAAAAATAATGCCTTTTACACACTAATCTATAGAAGATTCATATTTTATAAAATTCTTAATAAAAAAAGATTAACAAACATTTGGCCAAATACCGAAAACCCTGGAACGGAACAAATTGGAGATAGATTTAAGCGTATCCCGCTAGAAGTGCATGAGGTCCGAGGGCGCGTACGTCTCGTTGTGCTTGATGGGCGAGGTGTCGTGTTCGCGCACGGCGGGGGCGGAGGCGCCGGCGGGCTCTTGCGGGC